TGTCTATCTATCATCTGTCTGTCTGTCTGTCTGTCTGTCTATCTGTCTGTCTATCTCTCTCTCTATCTATCTATCTCTCTCTCTATCTCTCTCTCTCTATCTCTATCTATCTATCTCTCTATCTCTCTCTCTATCTCTCTCTCTCTATCTAGAGGTGTGAATACAAATGTTAATGATCCAAACTTATGTGCTTGTGTCATACTCAAAGGAAATATTGTGATATATATATATATAAATGTTTCATACTGCATTATGCTGCAAAACCCAAATCTCATGGACATGATGGAGCCAAACATTAAACGCACTGTACAAAAATAGAGCAAATCCACTTCAAACAAGTTACAGCTAGGAAAAAAGTGAAATTGGTTTTATAAAACTGCTTGAAATGTTACAGTCAAAAAACATTCACAGTAGAGTTTTTTTTTTTCTCTCTCTGTACTCCTTTTTAATGGTTAAATTAAATTGTATTAATCAAAAAGCATGTCTAATTAATTAAAATCATGAAACTTAAACAATTTAACATCAATTTATTAAAAGTTTAACAAAAATTACATGTTTAATGTAATTAAACCGGGCCCTATGAAATGTTTTATTTTTTCCAACCTTATGTTTTATTGTTACCAAATTCTGATTTAGCATGTCTAATTATTTGAAAGCATAAAAACAAGTTTCATTTATTCTTACAATAGCCTTATGAGATTTTGCTCAGAAATTCTGTGTTGTGTATTTACATATTTAAGGCATAAAATATTCATTTAATCTATCTTTTAAGTAGTGAAAAGATATGAAAAATTTTATTTTTTGGAAAATTTAATATTTTTTATTTAATATTACAATTAAAACATTGAAGAAATATTGTATGATTATTCCTTAAAAATAAGGTTTTAATAATTTTAGTAGTAGTAGTAGCAACCTGTTACATACATTCTACTGAACAACAGTAATATATTTCTTCTGCAATGCCTTCAAGTTAAACCGAACTTTTATTTTGACGGGTTGCCGTGAATACCTTTACATTTCTGTGTGTATATGGTATGAGGATAGTTGTACTCAAATGAAACGGTCAAATGCTCATGAAGTGAGACTCGGAGCAGTTCTGGAGATGTTGTTCATGTATTTATGGCCTCATTAGTGAGACGGCAGACGCTAAAATCACCGCGAGCGTAGGGCTGGACGATATGGCCAAAATTTATATCACGATATATTTCTTAATTTCGGTCGATACGATATAATTACGATATCGATATGAACACTATTAAAAAAGCCTCATAAAAACGGACAAGAATGGCCACAACAGATGTCTGTACCTACAAACTTATGAAAAATTAATTTGCCAACTCTATGAAACCTACTCCTATAAAACTATATAATATTTTAGGAAAAAAATGGCGCAAATAAGAATTATTGTCCAGCCCTACGCGAGCGTCACGTGCGCTTCAGTACAAATGGTAAACAAAACCGCACATCTGTGCCGTTCATTAACACAGAGACACGAAGAATTCATATTTAAATAGTCGTTTATAAGGCTATTAAGTCTGTTTAATAAAAGAACAAGGTATAGACCTGTTCTATCGGAAAGGTAACTTTAAATGACTTCTGTTGTGATCTGGCGCTATAGAGAAAATATAATTAAATAAAATTAACTTGACCTTCAAGGGGGGCGGGGGTGCCCCTAAAATAATGGGAGGGGTTAACACTGAAAAGTATATAATTTATCTTTTTTTATTGTTTATTTTTAATTTATTCCTAAATTGGGAATAAAGAATTATCATTATTTTATCTTTATTCATTTAATTATAATTATTTAATTAGTAATTATATGTTTTAAGATGAATGAAAATTGTCTGTGTATGTATACATATGTTTATTAAATGTTAATAAAAAGTATATATTTTAATATTTTAAGGTTTATTATTATTATTAATGTATGTATTTTTTATTGCATTAGTTAAACTAAAATCCTGTTGGATAAAATCTAGTCCCACCATATATTACTTTCTGTTAATTTTCTTTCACTTAGAAACGCATGGCTTTGCAGGAGTGCTGATCATCAGCCAGAAACTCTGTGTATGAGGCTGAGTGGATCACACTATCTGCATCACAGACACATCACTGCTTCATTGTGCTGGATTCTCCTGTTTTGTCCTGTATTATTCTTGTTAGCTGTTTCTGGTCGGAAATAAGATCATATTACAAATATGTATTGGTCATTTTGACTCCAAAAACAGATCCAGTGGACCTGAAGTGGACTGACTTTGATTCTCTTCCTGTTGTTGTTTTTTTGTCTTGTGTTTAAGCATTTGGCAGATTCTTTAATCCACAGAGACTCATTGAAGCTGTACAGTTGCTGTCAGTCTGATGACTGATGTGTGTGTTTTCGGTCAGGATGCGAGCGCTCAGCCGCGGCCCACAGCGCAGGATCTGGCCGGGTTCTGGGATCTGCTGCAGCTCTCCATCGAGGACATCAGCATGAAGTTTGACGAGCTCCACCTCCTCAGGTCCAATGACTGGAAGATGTCTGAGACCCAGGACAAAAAGGTCCAACTGACGAAGCTTTCGAACATCCTAACATTTCCCTTTGCCTTTGCTTGTAAAACCAGAGAAATATTCTGGTTTGTGGATATACTTCAGCTTTTAGATCTAGAACTTTGTATCACCACATGAAGCCGCCCATCTATAATAACGTCATGAGGTGAAAATGTAGTGCGTCAGCTATTTGCCAAAAAAAAAAGTAGGCAGTATATAATGTATTTTTTGTATGGTGTTTATGTAGTAAATGGTACACTAGCACAATATATTTAATTGTTAAAAAATTTTAATGGTAATATAATATTTATTAGATGTTTATTGTATGCATACTTTATATGCATTTTATTATTTTATAAATTACTTAATATTTAATATTTATTTAAAAAATTTATTTTATTTGTATTGTTTTTTTTTCATATTTAATTATAAGCTAATAATGTTTTTAAAAGTTTAAAAAGTAATATTAGTGATTAAATATATTATTTTTATTAATCTAATAATAAATTATCTTTTCTAATCTAATCATTCTTTTTTGGGTTAAAAATGAATATTAATTCAATGCTATTTTAATATTTCTTTTGATAATTTGGGATATGTATTTTATTGAAATGTAATATTTAGTTTATTCTATACATTTCTGTATTTTATGTTATAAATAACTTTTTGTACTTCTATTTGTATTTTATTCTAAAAATTATTTAATTTTATAGTTATTTAGTACAGTTTCATATAAGCTAGAATGTATTTTAATAGTTACAAATTAAAATTTATTAAATATCATTACCATTTTATTATTTATTAATTTATTTTAGTTGTTAAAAACATCTTTGATTTTTATTACAGATTTAATTTCATAAATGTCTTTTATAAGTGTGTGTGTGTGTATGTATGTGTGTGTATATA